CAGCAGAGGAGGGGTTAGGGCACCCAGGCAGGGGAAATGGCTCGAGCAAAGGTACACACATGTGGACCGACTGGCACATTCCTTTAATCCGACAGGTTTATTGATATTTCCAGACACTATTTTAGCTCTTTGCAGTACAGATGACTCAGCAATAACTCCTGTCCTGAGTACCTGGAGGTCTAGCTGGCAAGCCAGACTAGAAAATGAATTGTACTCATTACCTCTTGCTTTGCAATGTGTTACCCCAAAGTAAGTTCTTAACGCCACTCACACTGATGATCTTCACAGTCTCCATGGGTCAGGAATCCAGTCCTGGCTTAACTGGGTCCTGAGGCCCATGGTCCCGTGCAGGCTGCAATCAAAGTGTCATTCAGGTGGTGATCATTTTGTAATGTGTAGAAATATGGAATCACTATATTGTGCCCAGGAACTAACAATATTTTAGGTCAATTATACTTCAAAAAAGTGTTATCTAGGACTGTGGTCTCAACCGGAGGCTTGATTGGGGAGGAATCTGGTTACAAGTTCATGTGATTGTGGGCAGGATTTGATTTCTTGTGGACTGATTGAGGACTTCAAGGGCTTCGTTTCCCAGCCGGCTGTAGGCCAGAGACTGCCTGGTGGGCATCTCCAACGTGACAGTCTACCTCGTCAAAGCCCAAGAGCCAAGAAGACAGTGTAGAGAGAATTCCAGCCAGACAGGTGTTTGAGTCCTTCGCAACTTAACTGCATTGCTTTTGCTGCATCCTACTCATTAGAAGCAAATCCCTAGGTCCTGCCTAACTCAAGGGAGAGGATTACACAGGGTGTGAATATAGGAGGCAGGGGTCTTTGGGATCCATGTCACAAGCTACCAACCACATAGATGTCTACAAAACATGAAGAGGGGTATGCCACTGCTCTTGGCTGTGTGGCCTCAGGCAAACTGCACACATCTCTGAGCTCAGTTTCCTTATCAGTACAGTAGAGATAATAAGGATTCTGCCTCACAGGAGTGAGAGAATTAAGTGAGATGACAGAGGTGACACAGATGAGTGAGGACAGAGCCTGGCATGTCTTATGGGTCCAGGACATTTTCTCTGCCAGTTGCTCTAGGGCTCAGTTGAAGGAGTGATTAGTTCTGCCTTGGGTCAAAGCCCAAGTTCCCGTACTTGGCATTTCCTACCACCTTATTGGGGCTGCAATGAAGTCATGAGGGTAACCTCTGAGTTACCCTCAACTGCTCCTCCATCCACATGAACATGTACCCCCAGTGTGCCCTCCTACTCCAGCCACTAGGATCCACTCATCACCTCTAGGATGGAAGAGATATCTAATCAAGAGAGGCTTAGGGAATGTGGGCAAGACAGGCAGACAGTAGAGGTGCACAGCCAGGAAGATCCCCCCTCCCAACCTCCAGGCGTCCTAGTGGTACGGACCAGGCTGGCTTCTGTCCCTATCTTGGGGGCTCCTTCACTCTGCCAAGGCTCACCGTCTTCCTTCTCTCTTCGCTTGTCAACCCTCCTTTTCTCTAAATTCTTGCTTGCTTGGTGGCATATCTGCTAAACCATGGGCTGGCCTCCCAGCAACTCCTATGGTAAAGCTCCTTAAAAAACCTATATCCTGGACAAACTCTTATTTTCCAGAGAGCAGGGAGGCATTAATCACCACCAGCGTCTTCCTTGTCTTCTTGGAAAACTCCATCTCTGAGCTCTGCGATAAAGAATTAGGTTCTGATTAAAGGAAGGCAACACTTCTGAGATCGCATGTCCCTGTGCTCAGAGGAGGAGGGAGAGGATGGAGAAGAGGTTGCAGGGAAGGAGAGACAACAGGAGGCAGGGCCACCATGGGGTGTTTGCAGGGCAGGGCTATGAGAACACAGATAGGCCTCAGGGGAGCCCCAGGAGGCACAGCAGGTGAGTGTGGGTGAGACCAATAAAAGCTGCAGAACTGGATATTAGGTTTTCTATCTCTGTGTCTGGACACTGAAATCTCCATGTTGCTGGGATGTGGCAGAAAGCTGATTTGTTCAAAGAAAATAAGATAAACTACCACGTTCTGTCCCCTGCCCTGGGAACAAATCTAGTACGTGGAATATTCGTGTAGGGGGCAGGGGGAAGGGGTTACCCAGATACTCTCATGCCCATTGCAGAGAGCTCCAGGGCTGGAGGTGAGGTTGTGGACATGGGTTGGAGGATCTGGGGCCATTCAACCAACATAGGCTACTGGAGACCCTGACTCTGTGTTAGGCCACCTGATGGGGAAGATGTGAGGATGCTGGGGAGACTGGCCACCCCAGAATGGGTGGCCACAGTCTCTGAATCCCCTGGCTTTCACCAGCTGTGGGTAGAAAAAGAGGGCATCTAACAGGTAAACTTGGATCTCTCCAGTTCCGAGCCTCTCCTGTACTTGAATGAACTGTGGTCTTTCGCCAGCCCCTCCCTCTGTTTAAGGGTTCCTGGGGTGTCTTCAGTTCAGTTCAGTTCAGTTCAGTTGCTCAGTCGTGTCTGACTCTTTGCGACCCCATGAACTGCAGCATGCCCGGCCTCCCTGTCCATCACCAACTCCCGGAGTTTACCCAAACTCATGTCCATTGAGTCGGTGATGCCATCCAACCATCTCATCCTCTGTGTCTTATGTGAGCTCAAAAACCAACCCATCAAGAACTGAAGTCACCAGTGGAGGCTGCCCTGTGCCCCTTCTGCCATTACTGATCTCCATCCAGGAAGCCTCCGGGGATGCCTGTAGCCTGCCCTCTGGGCTGTGCCTCTGTGGGGTCAGTGATGCCAGTGTCTGGGCCAGGCCAGCTTGGTCCTCATGCTCCCTGGGCTGCCTGTCCTCTGGTCACCAGAGCCTGGATGGGCTCCTCCCAGAAGCAGGGAAGGCTGGCCCCTCCTGGCTGCGTGATACACTTTCTGTGCCAAACTCTGCTAGCAACGACACTGAAGAAGTCGAGGTTCTAGGCCTGCCCTTTGGAAATGCCACATCTCGTGGGGGGAATGAGCCAGTGGAGTGTCAGGGGGACAGGGATGGGAGTGACCACGCCTCAGAGTGCATTCTGGACCCAGCCCTGGTCAGCTGATTGTCTATCTCCTGCCAACATTCAAATCCAGCTGTGTGAATGAATAGGCTTCCAATCCATCTCTTGCTAAAAAACGCTCCTGATTTCCTTTTGCAGGGAGCCTCCTTCCCTCAATGTCAGTCTTCGAGATCAGGATGGGGTGACGTGGGCCCACCCTGAGCTGGACATCCCCTTTGCTTTGTCCACAGTGATTGACTCTGAGGGGTCTGTGACCCAACTGTGTGAGCTGGAGCTGGGCTGCTAGGAACAGACTTTCACACCCAGACCAACCTCATTGCTGACGACTCGCCAGCCAGAAATCAGGGAATGAGAGACTGGGAGATCGTGGGGAACCCCTGGCGAAGCCAGATCAGAACTAGAACTCCCTGTGAAGTTTTCAGTTACTGCAGCCATTATATTCCTATTTTAAGTTAGTTTGGGTTGGTTTTGTATTATTTGCTGGATCCTTCCAGCTGCTCTGTCTTTGCAGGGAGAAGCCATGTGCAGGAGGCATAGAGGCCCATTTCCCTAGTGACTATAGAGATCAAGAATTTCAGAGGTGAGGGGTGGTCTGTGTTTCTTCCCACATTGTCATTACACTTCCCCTTCCCCCATACCCCTTAGAACTGATCTTCCTTCCCCATGTTACACTTGAGGACACTGAGGCCCAAAGACGTAGGGTGATTTCCCCAAATATCCAAATTTCGAGTTGTCTGGTCATGTTCCCCTCCCTCTGAGTGCTCAGTCTCTAGGCTGTCGGATTCAGCGGACTTGGTCTGGCCATCCTGCCTGCCTTGATCAGCCCCACCCCAGCTGGACATCTAGAAAGCTGCCCAGGTGAGTCAGGCTCCCCCCAGTCGGGAGTGAGGGGGAAGAACAGGATGTGGGGCTAAACTCTAAACCTTGGGAAAAAAGATGTAGACACTTAGGGCTTAAAAGTAATGATAATATGAAGAAGAAAGCTATCCCTTTGAAAACACACCCTGAATTAAAGGGCTAAGTTGTCCTCTCTGAATCTAAAATAGTTATATTCTTTCTCCACTTTCTCCCCCTCCCCCACCCATGCTCATTTCCTCTCCACTTCCTCCCCTCCCCCACCCCATGCTCATTTGCTACCCAACCTGCTGTTTGCCTCTAGCTTCCCTGCAGATCCTGAGGCCCCTCACCTCCTGGGAGGACTGTAGGAATAAGCATCCTATTCTTATAGGGAGAGGGATGCTGAGGCTACACTGTCATTCCTGATGACATCGACTGGGTGCTGCTGTGTGCTAGCAAGTCCCCTACATCATCGGGGTGCCTCACCCCACTACCCACCCCACTACCCTCCCCACTGCGAGAGGTGGATGGCCAGTGAGGGCAAGTGTCAGGCTGAGACCATGGGGCCAGGAAGCAGCAGAGTCAGAAGCAAACGCAGGTCTATGGGCTCCCATTCCGCCACAGGGAGAGTGCTTTGAGGTTTGGTCACCCATTCACTCCTTCACTCACTCCTTCGGCAGACACCGGGAGTCTGGCCCTTGGGAGGTGACAGAGAAGTCCCAGAGCCCAGAGGAGCTCTGAGGGGCTGTGGGAGGGAAGCCACTGACTTGGTCATCAGGGCGGGGAGAGGGGGAGGGGGAATCAAGGGCCTCTGGCTTACGTGATGAACCGGGAACTCAGCACATGGATGAATAGGGACAGGGAGGGCAGATCCCAGGGGAGGGGGCAGCTGGGCTGTGGGGAGGAAAACGCAAGGCCCCTTCTCCTCCCTCATCCCTGCTCCAGCCCCTCCCTCTGTAGCCCACAGGGTAGCTTGAGGCTGCGGCCAAGGGGCCCTGTCTTCTCCCACGGAGACCGGCCAGGGTCTTTCAGTCCAAATCCAAGCCGAGGTGGTCTGGCCTGTGTCATATGTCCAGCTCTGGTCCAATTGGCTAAGGCTGGGAGGCAAGATGGTCCCATCCCTGAGGGGGTCTCCCCTTCCCAGAGCTGAGAGAGGGGGCACTGTGGGAGACAGGGAGGTGATGGAAGCTGGCAGAGGCCCCAGGACTGCCAGCCACAGAAGGCATGGTAGGCGGGAGCAGGGGGACACCAAGCTGGTGCTGTGGAGCAACCAGGAGCTGGTGGGCTGCACGGGGCTGAGGTGCGTGCCTAGCAGGGCCTGGGCCTTGGGAGACATGCAGGGGGCAGCTCAAGGGTCACCAGGGAGCTCAGCGTCCTGCCACGCTGGTACGGTGGCTCATGTGGTTTCTTTCTCACACTAGGGAGAGTGATCCTGGCAGAAGGAGCATCGTTCTATTTTATAGCATTCTATTTTTTCCTTCCTTTCCTTGTACCAGTCTGCAATGGTTTAATTCATTTGTCTGGTTTTTTGATGGGCATTATTCTTCCCCATGGGACTATCAGTCCCAGGAGGGCAAGACCCCGCCAATCCCCTTCATTCCTGCAGTCCTGGGGCAGCCCTGCTGGGCTCAAGTCATGTGAGTGGGATGAATGAATGAATGAATGCTAATCAGGAAGAGATCTCAAGAGGGAAGAAAGTAGCAACTCCTGGTTTTATGTTTTATTGAAGTTGTTGTTATAAGTATCATCATCCTTAATAATAGAAATGAAGCTTCATCACACACTTTGTATGTGCCAGGCTCTGTGCTAAGATTTTTACACCTGTTTTCTCATTTGACTCCCTGCTCCCCTCTTTGCCATGGGACTCCAGGTCCCTTTCAGAGCTGCATGCCATCTGCTGTCTTGTATGCAGGCTTTGTGCTGGGTGCTCCTTCCAGGAGCCCACGGTGAATCAGCAACACAGATGCATTAACAGTTAAAAACAAGAGGGCAGAGTTGAAAACATGAAGGAGTTGGTGGTGCAGGGATGAGGCGTGGGGTGGAGGTAGGGCTGTGGCTCCAGGTTTGACATTACAGTCAAGACGCCACTTTAAGGCTCCACCAGCCCCCACCTGGGCATGTGCAAAGGATTGATTCAGTGACTTAATGTGCCAGCCGGGCTCTGGCAGAGTTGGCGGCAGAATGACAGGGAGCCAAGGTCTTGGTGCCCTTTGCTACGGCTTTTATCTGCCTGATTTCACGTGGATTGAGCCCTGGCCGCCATTTAGCTGGAGAAATGTCCAAACTGTATTAAATCACGGGGCACAGGCAGATGACAGGAGAACACTTGTCATCCACCTCTGCCAGTCCTCTGGCTCCCAAGCCCGTGTGGGGAGGGATCATTTTTGTCTATCTCGCGGTGCTCTGAGGGCCTGGCTCATCTCCTGGTCCTCCTCCATAATGATGGTGTGGATGTAATTTTCTCAAGATGAGAGGGGACGTGGTTAGGTGTACTCACCCTCAAGGAGATACAGCAGACTCCTAAGAGAGCAGAGCCAGGGCGCAGAGCCCAGAGGAACACACACATTGCAGTCGGCTTCTGGGCCACGGTCATTTCCCCTCTTTAGTCTTTATTAGCATATGTATGTTAAAATTTTGAGAGTATTTTGGTCAGCTGAGGCTGCCATAACAAACAGCATAGACTGGGTGACTTAAACACCAGAAATTTGTCTATTCAGTTTAGGAGGCTGGAGATCCAAGCTCAGGGTGCCAGCAATGGTTGAATTCTAGTGAGGGGTCTCCTCCTGGCTAGTAAACGGCCTCCTACTCACTGAGTCCTCATGAGGAGAGGGAAAGAGAGAGACAGACAGACAGAGAGAGAGAGAGACAGAGAGAGGGAAAGAGAGTATCTTGGTGTCTGTTCTTATAAGGGCACTAACTTCATCATGAGGGCCCCACCTTCATGATCTCATCTAACTCCATCTAACCCTAATTATCTCCCAAAGGCCCCATCTACAAATATGACCACAGTGGGGAACTTAGGGCTTCAGTGTAAGACTTTGGAGGGGACACAAAATTCAGTCCACAGCAGAGAGTAACACAACCTCACTGTTAAACATTCCAAAATTGATAGAGTATACAAAGAGAGAAACTTCCCTGTTCCCTTTCCTCAGTCTGAAACTACTTCCTGGATGAAACAATGGAAAGCCATCACCACCACCATCATCTTCACCGTCATCATCGTGTGTTCTCCATGATAAGACTTTTGGCTACAGTAGTTCAATTAACCCTCACATCATCCCCATGAGGAAGACGCTGTCTTCCTCAGACTGGATAAACTGAGGCTCAGAGCAGTGGGGTGAGTCCCAGGATACTCCACTGATAACTATCGGTGAGACTGAAACCCAGGTCTGTGGGTTTCAAAGCCCTGCTCTTTCCCCTACAACTTACATTTTTCTATGCATATTCTAAATTTTATTTCTTTTGCAATGTAAGAATACTTGGTATACACTAAGTTATAATTTGTTTTTTATTTGCAGATACCTCCCCATGTAAATTGTCTCTTTCACTGGCTGCCTGGTGTTCAGCTATAATAGGCACTGTCATTTATTTTAGCTCCCTCTAGATGTATTTTTATATTTAGGTGACTAATTTTTTTTTTTTTTTGCCTTTTCAAGCAACATTACCTGCCATTTTATTTTCTCTCATTCATTTAAAATTGGTTCTAATATCCAAGGGCTTTAATGCAGTCCCTCTTATTGTTATGTATTCAAGCAGGCCATATAGAGAAAAAGTACTTTTGTGCTATGCTCCTCTCCAAAGCCCACCCCACTTCATAGTAACCGCTGCCATGGGTGTGGTATATAGAACCTTCATAGACCTCTATCTTTGCATTTATATATCTTCACACCACATACTAATGCATACTTAATTATAAACACATAAAAGCTATCATATATATTTTTGCATCTAACTTCTTAATCATTTGCCAGTATCGTAGACATCTTTCTGTACGTAGAGAGGGACCTCCTGGTTTTAATTAAGCAATTTCTTTACTAATTTTAAAACTTCAAAAATTTCTTTTTAATTTTTAATTAAGCTTGGCTATTTCTCTTTTCTTTCTTTCCTTCTCTCCCTCCCTTTTCCTTGTTTTCTCCTTTTTCTCTATTCCTTATTTCCCTGTAAAGGATATTTAAGTTGTTTCCATTCTGTATCTGTATAACATCCTTCACTGCAGTGAACATCCTTGTGTAAGCCTCATGGTGTTCGTGTGGGGTTTTGTCTCTAACACGTAAACCTGGATTTGGAATTGTTGGGCTGAGGGTTTGTCAGACCAGGTCTTGCCTGAGACCACAGGAGGCTGAGGAAAATCTGGGTTGTGGGTGCTGGGTCTGTTTGCTATAGGCAGTGTGAAATGATGGAAGGGGTCTGCCTTTGACCTAACAGTCCGCTGTGTGTGGCCATGATCTTGGACAGCTCCTGGGGAAGCTCTTTCTTCAGTCCTGAAGCTCCAAAGCCTTGTCTCTGGCCCCGAGGCCAATCAGCCCCCCTATAAAAGCCTCAACTGCTGGACTGGGGTCTGTTGTTGCAGATTAGAGTCTGGATGGATGCTGGGATTGGCTCATGAAGTCATGAGATCTCTGGATGGGCAGAGGGTGGGTCCCCTCAGTTCATACAAAGGTCTCTGACCTGACCCGACTTCCTGACTTAGGGTTTCCTCCTCTGTGCCCTCTTCCAATCTGCCCACTCTGTCTTCTCAAGCACAGGTCTGGCTTTGTCACACCTTTGTTTACCCTTCAGTGGCTGTCCCTTGCTTTTAGAGTGAAGGTTCATCATAGTCTTTGGCCTGTGTGTGGGACTCTGCAAGGGATGGCTTCTGAGCATCACCTTCCATACTCCTCATACCTGCACATCTTACACTCTGGCTGTACCAGCTTCTCCTTGTTCTATAACAGCCATTTGCTCCCTCCTCCAAGCCTCAGCACATGCTGTCTACTCAGCCTGGATGTCTTTTTCCCTCTTTAATAACCTCAGTCCCATTCTTGATCCGTGGATGACTCCTCTTTTGGGTTTGCAATTAAGCACTCCTTCCTCCAGGAGGCCACCTTACTCCCCTCCTCCACGCTAAGCATCATTTGTAGCACAGTACCATCCAGTGGTGTGATGATCTGGACCCTCCAGTAGCTGGAGCTCCAGAAAGACAAGCTTCCTGTCCGCTGGACACATCATTGTGCTTCTTGCACGTGGCCTAGGGCCCAGTAAGAACCCCTGTAGTTACTCAATGAATGAAACAGGTCCACAGGTGCAAGGCAGGTGAAACAAAATGCCACGGCCATGGAAACAAAAACAGACCTGGGACCTAAATCTGACGCCAAACAGATTAGATCCTGCTGGTCACTTTCCTCCAGTGCAAACGTAATCATTATTACCCACTTCTCTTCGGCAGAAGATAATGAGTGTGTTTGACAAATGCGTTATGCAAATATTAATCTTTAATGGAACATTGGGTCAGTAAGACTCAGCATCGCACAAAATTGTTCTGCCAAATCTGATAGCGTTTCTTTAAGATACAAATGCAAACATCTCAGATATAGGGTATGGGGGAAACAGAAACACACATTTAATGAAATACTACAAGGTGCTAAGTTCATATCAGGCAGATCCAAATATTAATTTTATACATAAAGAACTTTACAACTTTTGCTAGGTTTCTTATTGACCTCAGAAACTTTGTAAAAAATTTTTTTCAATTGGAAATGGCATCTTTATCTCTGTATACTGATTTTGAATCCAGCAAACATGTTAAACTCTCTTATCATCCATGGGCTCTTTTTTGGACTTTCCAAAGAGGCAAACACAGCATATGCAAATGTGGCAGTTTTTGCTTTTCCTTTCTAGTCTGTATACTTTTCATTTCTTTTTGTTTTGGGAGCAAAGACCTCCCATGTTGAATATTAATGATGTTGGCAGCCATCCTTGGTCTTGTTCTTGATCTTAATTTTAAAGGGAAAACTTTCAACATTTCACCACAAAATATGATATGATGTTTGCTGTAGGCTTTTTTGGCAGAAGCTTTAATTCCTTTCATTCCTAGTTTGCTAAGAGTTTTATCATGAATGAATGCCAACTTTTTCAAATGCTCTTTCTGCATCTATTTAAATGATCACATGCTTTAAAAAGATCTCCTAATGTGATGAATTACATTAAGTCATCAACTAATACTAAACTAAAACCACATTCCTACAAGAAAATAAACTTGGTCGTAATATATTAACTAATTTATTCATTGCTGGAATTTTCTTGCAAATTTTTTAAAAGACTTTTTGTATATACACTTTTGAGTGAATGTACTCACTCAAAATTTTGAGTACAAAATGTGCTCAAAAATTTCATGTTTTCGGTCTGACTTTGGATTCAAGGTTTTGTTAGTCTCATAAAAGAAAGTATTAGCACAAGACTGAAATGATTCCTGTCTTAAATGTGTAGGAGGACTCATAAAACCATGTGGATAAAGTGCTTTGTTTGTGCGAATACTTCTATTGATTCAACTTAATGGTTACAAAATTATAGAGAATTAAAAAAATTCTCTTAGGGTCAGTTTTGGTAGTTACATTTTTCTAGGAATATAGTCTATTAATCTAAAATTTCAAATTTATTATAAAGTTATCCATACAAATTTCCATTATCTCTGTAATTCTCCTGGTGAGTTCCCTTTTCTGTTGCTTATATGGTTCATTTATGCTCTTACTCTCTATTTTGTTCAATTTTGCCAGAGTCTTCTCTGTTTTTAAATTTTTTCAGAGAGCAACCTTTTGGCTCTACTGACCCTCTCTGTTATACGTGGGATTTAACATCTACATGCCTCAGTATCCTCAAGTGATGAGCCATGGGAGATACTGTTGCCTTCATCAGCGTGCCAGAAGAATTCATGTCTGAGGTTGCTTTGGCCGTGGTGTCTATCAGGGCTGGAATGGATGATGGGAAGAGAAGGGCAGCTGTCTTCCCAGGTAGTGAGCAGAGGGGAGGGGAATTTTCTGTGGACTATGTTGCTATGGATTGGTTGTTATGTCCCCGTTCCTCTCAAAATGCGTGTGTTGATATCTACTCCCCAGTGTGATGGTATTAAAGATGGAGCCTCATGAGTGGGATCAGGATCCTTCTAAAGGAGACCCAGAGAGGGTCCTTGTTCCTTCTAACATGTGAGCTCACAGTGAGAAGACGACTGCCTGTGAATCTGGAAGAGGGCTCTCACCAGACACCAAATCTGCCGGCACCTTGAGCTTGGATTGCCAAGCCTTTTGAACAATAATCAGTAAACTTCCATTGTTCACAAGCCACTCAGTTTATGATACTTTTGTTATAGCAGCCCCAAGTAGACTAAGACACACGTGGAAGTCACTGAACCTCCAACAATCTCATTAGGAGCACTTCTTGGTGGGGAGGGGATGCCAGCAATGGGATGTACTGAACAAGGAGGACCTTCGGGTTAGGGGCACATCCTTTTTCAGGGAATGGTATAGTTCCAATGAACACGTTCATTTGTTCCACAGGAGAAAGCTGGTCTATGCAAGCCCACCATGCCTAGGACCTCACAGCTTGGGGAGGACCACAGATAGCCCCAGCCAAGTGGAAAATGGCTCCCTCTTTCCTTAAAGGCTTCCCTTCATCTGCCAGGATCCTGGAGGGGAAGAGGAGGGCATAAGCACCTTCACCTCCCCCATCCCTTCCCAGCCGGGGTCTCTGAACCTTGGTGATTCCTGAGCTGGGGAAGGGGGTACCTAACTGGACCTTTAAATGCTGACAAGTGGGCAGACCTTATTTCCATAAGATACAGTTACAACTGAAGGAGAGTTCAAGGTTAAAGCAACTATGATGCCCCTTCAGGGTGAGTTGGGGGCTCAGATAGAGCTCGTTTGAAGTCAGGCCTGGGAGAAATGATGCTATTTCTGTTTGTGCTCCATCAGATTCTGCCCATTCAGTAAACTGGTAACACATTCATTGTATATCTGAGAAAAAATGAGACCTGGAGACTACCATCTATCTCTTTCTAGAAGCTTCAGTCTCTAGAGTTGCTTATAATAACATACAATTGAGACCAACCCAATCAACCCACCATGAGGAGTTCAGTTATTAAACTCAAGATGGTCTATTTGGCAGAATGTTACACCATGAGCAAAAATAGCTGTGAGATACGTTATGAGGTTATACTTTTAACCACATGGGGCTTGCTTAAAACCATAATGCTAAGTTAAAGGCAAAACCATAACCAAGAACACACCAGGATACTTAATTATGAGCTAAAAAGAAAGAATACTGGAAGCAGTGAAACAGAAATGTCAAAAATAGTTCTTTGTGGAGTATTGAGAATATTCATTGTTTCTTTAGCTTTAGATAGTTTTTCTTTTAAAATAGAACATACTGTTTAGAATAGTTTTAGATTTGCTAAAAATCTGAGAAGTTAGTAAATGTCATTAAATGTCTTATACCCATTTTCCCAAACTATTAACACCTATATCACTTTGGGATATTTGTTGTAATTAATAAACCAACATTTGGAGAGTGTTATCAACTAAAGTTTACTTTATTTGGATTTCCTTAGTTTTTTACCTAATGTCATTTTTCTGGTCCAGAATCCCATCCAGGATGCCATGGTATGTTTAATCATCATGCCTGCCTAAGGCTTGGCTGTGACAGTTTCTTAGAATTTCCTTGACTTTGATGACCTTGACAGTTTTGAGGAGTACTGGTCAAATTCATTTTTGGATGCCTCTTTACTGGAATTTGCTTGATGTTTTCCTTTTGATTGGATCGAAGCTGTGAAGTTTTGGAAGTAAGGCCACAGAGGTAAAATCTCATTTTCATTACGCCTTACCAAGATAGGTATCAACATGATTTATCACTACTGATGTTGACCTTGATTACCTGGCTAAGGTGATGTTTGCCAGGCTTCACTGTGAAGTTACTTTTCCTCCACCTGCATTTCCACATTGTACTCTGCAAAGAACTCTTATGTGTGGCCCACACTTGAGTAGGCGCTCTACTAACCCTCCAGGAGGGCAGAATACCTACATAAATTATTTGCAATTCTTCATGGGAGATTTGACTCTTCTCCCCCATTTATTATTCAATCATTTATTTACATCAGCCTGGACTCCTGGATATTTATTGGATACTTTGAATTCTATTCTGATGGCTTTGTTGTTCAAATTGTTCTAACTTTGCTCATTAGAAGCTTTTTCAGTGGCTCCTTTGTCTCTCTGTCATACTTCCAACAATGTATGAAGTGTTCCAACTGGTTTCGGCTCAAATTGCTTTGAGGAGAGTTTAATAAATGGATTCTTTACAAAGGTGAGATCAGGGCAGCAGCGGGTACCACAAAGATGGGTTGATGGACCGGCTGCACTCACCTTGAACAGGGCGTGAGCTCCATCTATTCCCTGAGCTGGGATAAGCTTCTGCTTTGGTAGACCACAGTGGCATTTTGAGTTCCCATGAATTAATGTCAATTCAGATTCAGTGTCTAGTCCTCCAGATGAATTCCTTTCCCAGTGCACATTCACTGTTATAAATGGCTGCAGGTCCCTTTGGAGAAGGCTTGGAGGAAGATTGATGGTATGTGTTTGCACTGAGGGTTCAGAGTCCTTTTGTAAAGGCCTGAGCATCTGTGCATCTGCATCTGTAGCTGATTTAGGTCTTGAAACTGAGCAAGAGGGCATGACCTTCCACTGTGTTGAATAAAGTTAGGTTTATGGGTATCAGACCTAGGATTTTGGTTTTCTGGGGGTTTTGTTTTTTTTCTCAGAGCAGGAACTACTCCAGTAGACTGCTCATCTGTTTCTTTTTTAAGGAAAACATGATCACTTAGCCACCACTAAGCATCCCTGCAGAACAAGGCAAGGCAACCTCCTTGTGGTCCTTTTCAGTAGAGGCTCCCTCCTTGATTTGGGCCTCTGTTCCTCTCCTATACCATCATCCCCACTGAAATTCATGAGTCCATCTGAATAGCATCTTTCATCCAAGGTTATGTCTATTTTACAAAGGAGAGCAACCACAGAGCTTTTCAAAGATGCGGGAAGGGATCCATATTCCCATCAGTAATCGGTTCCTCAATGCCTTAGTTTCTTCTGAGTGTTCTCACTCAGCATAGTTGGGAGTGGGTGTGCAGGTTGCACACGATAAAGCATGCCCAATAGTCTTATCTTGTGATGGTTTTGGATTTCCTCTTTCACATAATAATCTGTCATTCTTCCACATTTAACCTCTGTGAACCTGAGAACCTCTGGCATCACAAACGTAGACCATCATCAAACAACAACTTCCAATCAACCAAACAAGTAAGCTGTTAGGACCACCTCCACTTGCATGAGCTAACAAAGTAAATCCAGAATCCCTGGTAAATGCACCCATATCAGTGAGCCAAATTTTGTGTTAGGTTTCCTCCTTAGAATACTACCTATAGAATCCTCTCCTCCTACATATTCTCCAGTCTGCTCGAACATATGTTAGCAAAGTCTTGCTCTTGTGTAAGCTCTTTACTCCTGGGTCAGAGTCTGCACTGTCTCTCTGGAGCTTGCTGAGGTTTGATCATAATGATGGGTCCAATGGCAACAGGGGATGATTGTCATGGCTCTTGAGGTGGGTGAGCTTCTCATTTAAAGCATCTGCCCCAGTTGAGTCTATCAAGGGAATATTTAAGCAAAGGACAGATAGTGTCTTCAGGCACTGGAGGGGAAGCTACTTTAACTGCCAAAGGATTCTCACAGGAACTTGGGAGTCAAGATTTTGGTTTCATTTAGGTCAAACCAGATGCTTTCATTCCAAGTTTCAGGATCCCATTCTTTTCCAAGAGAAATAACTCCTCAAGGATTTAACTTTCTCATGAGAAATTTGGCAAGTCCATAAATTCAGAGGATATTGGAATTCAGCATCCTGCCTCATTTTGTATTGGATTTTGGGGCACTATCTGCGCTGTGGCTACAATAAAGAAGAAACTTGTTTAGAGCTGCCATAACTGAAGTTTTAAAGGACCGAGATTCTAAATATTCCAGTTTCCTCAGGAGGATCCACTGCCATCGCTAGAGTCTTCATCATTCCTGTAACAGTCAAGTGTTGCGGTTCCCATGGCACTTGCTTCTGATGGTACTCCATCACATCAACCACAGGTAATGGCTTGATTAATCATGATGCCTGTAATCAATCCATTAACCAAGGATTCCTAGCAATGCTTTCCTATTAGGAAGGAGCTCAGCACTGTGTTCAAACCCAAGGGGTACAACCAAACTCATTCCGAGTTTCTCATCTTTGTGGGTCGATCACCTGGGATCACACCTAGTAGTGATTCTTCATCAGTCAGAACCCAAGAAGGAGACAGTGACTGGCCTGGAATAGGATAGGGAAAGTTTAAGATAAGTGATTATTAACTATAGCTGAGGATTGCCTGTGTGAACGTGTTAAGTTCCTTCAGTCATGTCTGACTCTTTGTGACCCCATGGACTATTGCCCACTAAGCTCCTCCGTCCATGTTATTCCCCAGGCAGGAATACTGGAGTGGGTTGCCATTGCTTCCTCCAGGGGATCTTCCTGATTCAGGGATTGAACCTGCATCTCCTGCATTGACAGGCAGGTTCTTTACCACTAGCTTCACCTAGGAAGCCCAAAGATTGCCTGCCAGGGGGTAAATAGTGCTCTAAAAAATGCAGGAATAGCAGGGCAGTCACTATAGCTAGGATTCCATGCAAGGAAGGAACAGATCTGGAAGAGCCTCCCCTCCACTTTATTGTCCCACTAGGGTCCAGACCTAACCAGAGAGAACATGCAGCCACCCCCTGGACGGTGGAGGAGTTTGCTGGGGTGCCATGACAGTGGAACTTGTCGGGGTGCTGATAAAACTGCTCACAGGGAAATGTCACACCAGGACCTTGCTGGCAGCTGCTCATCACAGGGTATTCCTTAGGGTGCAGTACTGGCCTTTGCACCCTCAGGAGCAATTAGGAGAGGGCACACTAGAGCCGGGAAGAAAAGCCTCCCTTTTCTTCCTGCATTCCCCCAGTGCCAACTAGTGACAAAGATTACCATCGTACCAGCTGGCAAGGGAGACATATTGCAGCATCACACGCAGGTAATGAGGGATTTGTTGCTGAGAAGCAATACATGGATAAATACTCGACACCACTGTGTGACCTTGGGCAAGTCATTTCCCTTCCTCTGAGCCTCGGTTTCCTCATCTGTAAAGGGGGAAGACCCTCCCTTCTTGCAGGTTGCTGTGAGGACTGAGATAAGCATGTCCAATGCCCCATACACATTGGTGCTTAATAAGAGAACACAAGTTGGCAATCAGCCCTGCTCCAAATTTGCGACCTGGTCTCTGGATTGCTCCTCTAATGAGGATCTTCCCCACTCCTATCAGGGTGCTTCTTGGGCTCCAGAGTCCTCAACCAGGAGCTGAAGGGAAGAAAGCTACAGAGCACAATGAGACAGCCTGGAGGCCTGGGTCCAGCTCCTCCTTCCTCTTCTTCACCTGCTGTGAATCTTTGGGTCACTTACTTACCCTCTCTGAGCCTCAGTTTCCTCCTTCCTCTCTTGCCAGATTCCCCCCCTCCCAGCTAACCCCATGACCCTTGACCCTGTACTTAGTCAAGTGTACTGGGAACAGCCCTGACCTGGCCTCCAGGAGAGGTGGAATCCAGCCCATCTTTGTCACGAGCCTGCTGTGTGTCCTTGGGCAACTGTCTCTCCCTCTCAGAGCCTAGCTTTCCCTGTCTGCCGTTGCTCATCTCAGCAGACGAGCGCCACCCGGTGGTATCAGCTCACTGCAGGGGAAGCCACTGCAGGGGGTGGGCGGCATTGAAAGGCTGGGCACATACGCAGTCCATGGTTAATTACTCCGGCTTCTGTTTACTGCCTCCCTAATTCCCCAAGCAAACATCTCCATTACAGGGAGTAATTTACTGGCACCAGCCTCCACCGTGAGGAGCAGAAGCTTCGAGACGTGCTCCCCCTCCAGCCCCCACAGCTTGGAGGTGGGCGAAGAGTGTCTCGGGACTTTGGGGCTCTCAGGCTGGCACCCTTCCAGTCCTCTGCACACTCCAGCTTCTTCTGGGAATCCGCAGACACCTGCCTGAGTGTTACTGCATTAGCCGCGGAGCCCAATGGACTTGGGTTCTGTCCAACTCCACCCCTGACTCTCTGTGTGACCTCAGACAGGGCATGCGGGTGCCCCATGCACAGGAGGGGTCCCCTTCTGCAGCACCCCCTGCCCACAGCACCACGCAGCCTCTAGAGTCTCAATGATAGAGGCTGGAAGTGGGCTCTGCTTCCTGTCTCCCCCCCAGAGGAGATGCTGCCTTAAGCCCTCTGGTTTATAAAGCTATGGGGCTTCAAGGCGCATTCCTGGGCCACTTCAGAACCAGAGTGTTCTCTGGAGCAGGTGCTGGTTGAGGGAGAGATCGGCCTGAGGTTGGAACTCTGGGACCAGGCGGCTCCTCTCCCGGCAGACTCGCTGGGAATTTCCCTGGGCCCAGTTGGTGAGAGCACCACTCCAGCAGCATCTGGTTTGGGGGTTTTCTCTGAGTCTGGCCCCAGCGGGTCTGGAGGCTCCCCGGACCCTGGATGGAACCTGGTTTGGGGAGATGGTGCCTTGGCCAGCCCAGCACGAGCCAGGATGAAACCTTTGATTCATGAACTGCTGGATTTTGGTGGATTTAGTGACCTGGTTTCCAATTGATTTCCAGGGGGAGGGAGGATGGATTTATAGCTCCTAAAACAGGCTTGCGGCCTCGCGGCAGATCTGAGCCAGGCAGTGGGCAGGAAGTTATTGACATGACCTGGGACCCTGGGAGGGAAAGATAATAAAGCTTAGGAAAATCCATCTCTGTGGGTTCATCCCGGGCTCTCGAAGATGTACCTCCTCCTTCTGATGTTCGTGCACAGCTCTGCAGATGCTGAGCGGAGAGGACGGAGGGAAAGTGGGTCCTTCTCCCCTCGCCTTCCAGTTCACAGAGGAGGCTCTGGCTCTGCAAAGGATAGAAGTTTGCAGAGTGTCCAGGAGGCGGAGTCTGGAATTCGAAGATCTCGAGAACCCTGGGGGCTGGCTGCCTGCTCTCCCTGTAGGGCCCAGCTGGCCCTCTGTCCCTGCCCTCACCTTCTCTCAGCTGTGTGTGTGTGTGTATGTTAATGGCTCAGTTGTGTCCGACTCTTTGTGACCCCATAGACTGTAGCCCACCAGGCTCCTCTGTCCATGGAATTCTCCAGGCAAGAATACTGGAATGGGTTGCCATGCCCTTCTCTAGCTGGGGCCCATCAGTTACCTTGCAGCTTTAGAACAAGGAAGGGAGGAGGAAACTGGCTTTGCTGCAGGTTTGGAAATGGGGAGCCCTGCGTTTGCATTCTAGATGATTCTTCTCTTTCTGGCTGTGGGACATTGGACCAGTTCCATGTACATCCCGGGCCTCAACTCCCTCACCTGTGAAATGGGAGATACAGAGACACCTTTCTGAGGATGGCTGTGAGCTGAGATGAGGTGTGAAGTGGGCAGCACAGCCCTTGACCTCTGGTGGGTGGCACGCAGGCCCGGGCATGACCGCTTTGAGTTAAAGACCTGACTCCAACAGCCATTCTGTGTGATTCTGGACATATGCCTTACTCTCTCTGACCTCAGAGTGCTCCTCTATAAGGTGGGGAGAATGATACGGATCTCAGACATGATGGAGGGCCTTTTACAGGCCAAACCCTGTGCTACATGCTTTACATGTACAAACCTTATAACAGTCCTACAAAGGAGATAATTTTGTTAGCCCCAGTTTACAGGTGAGGAAATTGAGGCTCAAATGGGAAATAACTTGCTCAGGGTCAACTAGGAAGTGGTGGAGGCAGGATTTGAACCCAGGGGTTCTGGCCCCAGACTCACACTCTTGCGTGCTTCCTGGGGATCTCAGGTTCCCCGTAGACAAAGGTGTAAATGGGTTCTGCCAACTGTAAAGTGCTGTAGAAATGCCAGACAAGGTCACCTTCTATGGGATTGAGAACTTGACTCTATCAGATCGCACTGTGCTCTGTAGACTGTTAAATGGGATTATAACCATAACCAACATTTCTTGGGCACTATCTAGGTGTCAGATATCATGATAACACTTTACATTATGCCGTTCATTAAATCTGCTGAGAGGCCAAAATCATAACTCTCACCTCATAGATGAGGAAATTGAGGATGAGATGGTAACAGCTTGGACAAGGGCATACAGAAAAGGGGGACGTGAACCCAGGTCTTTCTGATTCCAGAGTCCAAGTTCTCATCTGTGAGAAAGAGCCACTACTGACTTTCTTGCTAAATATCAGCGCATGATTCAGATCTCACTGCTGTGCAGGCTGAGGTCAGAGGTGGCATGACTGGGGCCTGGAGGGGGTGGACTCCACATTGAGGGTGGAGAGGTGGGCAGGGCTGACCTGCCTCTGGTCCAAAGAAGGCAATGGGGAGACAGCTCAGAGAGCACAGCGAGAGTGGGGCCTGGCTGAGGGTCCAGCCCCAGCACTCAACCAGGAGGACCAAAGAGGGGACTTCAAGCATCACTTATGTGGTTAGAAGATGCTCACATGGTCACAGGCTCTGATGCTCCTTGAGGATCATTCACTATCCTGTTAGCTGGTTTCTGTCTCTGTTAAGAGGTTATGTGTGTTCTTATAATTCAGGGTCACTGTTTTATCAATTTGGCGTCTCTGACCCTATAACCAGGGAGTAATTTGTGGTTTTTCTCCTCTGTATGTTCTCAGTTCTATTGACTTGCCCTTCTTCATTATTCTGCTGGTAATTCTTTTCAGGAGTGTCCATTGACTTCCATGATGAAATACTTCTTGTTGCCTTTTCTGATGAGAATCCTGTATCATGTGTCGTCACATCAGAGTGAGAATATTTGGGCTTATTTTACTGTAAAAACAACATCAATACCTGACCGGGAATGCCTGTGTACCCTCCGCTTGGGGATGCTTGCTTTAGCTCCTCAGACTGTGTTTTTACCTCTTAGCGAAATTTACTGTTGATAGCCAGACATGATGTATCAGGTCAAAGGGACTCGGGTAAATCAGCGCTTAATGGGAGGTATTATGTGTAGCTGGCTGGGAATTAGGCTGTGTTTACGCTTGCTATAGTCCCAGTATCAGAGGATAAAGTTTCCTTTGGTGTCTTTGATTTTGTCTCCAATGTTGTCTTGGCCTTTCCTAGAGGCTCCTTAAAGAGGGTCTGAGGCTTGCTATCCTTTTAACGACCTTATTATTCGGGAACCCTATTGAAGGGGTGGTGTGTAGGGGAGGGGAAGCGTTCTATAATCTTAGGACTAGGTCTGTCTTTCAGTGCCTGTGACCTATATATCTCCTTTCCCCCAGGTAATTAAGCTTTGGTAACATAGGTTCTCTTGAAGCAGCCTCCTGAAGGAGAACAGAGTATTTTTAAAATATGCTCTGGGCATTTTAAAAATGGTTATTTCCCCTCCCCCTGCTGGAAGCAAGAGAGGATTTTTCTTCTGTCTTCACATTGAGAACCTTTTGGGGCTCCCAGAAGTCAGACTCACAAAAGTGTGGAGCTACTCCTTAAGACTTGCCTTCTTGTAGTTTTTAATTTCCAAGCTAGTCTACAGTGAGACACGAGCAATACATCATGTATAAAGTGCTCCTACAGTTAGTTGCTGGCTCCAGGTAAGGGTTTCTGTCCTTGATAATCTGTAATTCTAGGTATCTGCTTGTCTTTCCAGGTTTCAGGGTACCAATTTGTCTGTGACTTCAATTTCATGTTGAATCTAAGAAGATGATTGTCGATTTTCAGTTTGTTCAGGTTTTTTTATTTTATTTTATTGTGAGGATGGGAATGGTAACTTCCAAGCTCTTTACAATAATTTTTCAGCATGCAGACCTCATATATGTTTTAAGTATATAGGTAAATATTTCATTTCCTTTGGAGATTGTAAATGTCAGGTTTTAAGTTTCAGTTTCCACATGTTCATTGTTAGTAAGTAGAAACATAGTTAACTTTTGTCTGTTGATTTTTTATCCTGTGAACTTGCTGAACTTAATTCTAGGAAAGTTTTGTTTTGTTTTAGATTCCTTGTGATTTTCTATGAAGAGACATACCATCTCCCAATAGAGGCAGTAAAGGTCTGTATAGTCAAAGCTATGGTTTTTCCAGTAGTCACATGTGGGTGTGAGAGTTGGACCATAAAGATGGCTGATCGCCAAAGAATTGATGTTTTTGAACTGTGGTGTTGGAGAAGACTCTTGGGAGTCCTTTGGACTGCAAGGAGATCAAACCAGTCAGTCGTAAAGGAGATCAACCCTGAACATTCATTGGAAGGACTGATGCTGAAGCTGAAGCTCCAATACTTTGGCCACCTGATGCGAAGAACTGACTCATTTGAAAAGACCCTGATGCTGGGAAAGATTGAAGGCGGGAGGAGAAGGGGACAACAGAGAACAAGATGGTTGGATGGAATCACCGACTCGATGAATATGAGTTTGAGCAAGCTCCAGGAGATGGTGAAGGACAGGGAAGCCTGGAGTGCTGCAGTCCATGGGGTTGCAAAGAATCAAATATGACTGAGTGAATGAATTGAATTGTATTTTATTTACTTCAAATCTGTGGGCCCTATATTTATTTTTCTTGTCTTATTGCAGTGGCTATATATCCAGTAGTAGTAATATGAATGATGAGAATGGACACCCAGCTTTGTTCTCAATCTTAGGGGGCAAGCAAAGTATTCAGTCTTTCACCATTAAATATGATGTTACCTGTGGGATGCTTGCAGTTGCTCTTTATCAAGTTCAGGAAGTCCACATGTATTTCTGGTTTTTTGAGTTCTTTTTTTCCCCTTTTGCCATGAATGAGTATCTGAATTATGCCAAATGCCTTTTCTGTGTTGAATATGATTGTATGATTTTTCTTTTTTAGCCTGTTAACATTATATATTACATTGATAGATTTCTGAATGTTGTACTAGCCTCCAAAACTTATGATAAACTCCATTTGGTCATGGCATATTATTCTTTGTATGCATTTTTGGACTTGATTTGCTAATATATATCTCTAAGGATTTTGATATGTTGTGTTTTTATTTTCATTTGTTTTCACTATTTTTAAAAATTACCTTTGAGACTTCCTCTTTGGTCTATGGATTATGTAGAGGTATGCTATTTAATTTCCACATGTTTAGAGATTTTCCAGTTGTGTTTCTGTTATTAAGTTCTAATATAATTCCAAATTGGAACACATTTCTAATTTGATTTCAAATTAGTCAGATAGCTGCATTATTTAGATTTTTAAGACATATTGGTTTGTCTTAGTGAATGTTTCTTGGGTACTTCAAGACTGTGTATTCTGTTGTTGGGTGTTATGTTCTGCATAAATGTATAGGTTAGTTAGATCTTACTGGGTAATTATATCATTTAGATTTTCTGTAGATTTTTTCTATAATTACATTTCTTTCTTGCTTATTTTACTTCTATTTCTTTGTTGAGATCTTCTAATTTTTAATTTGTTTCAAGAGAATTTGTAATTGACTTTTGAAACCTTTTAAGTTTGCTGCTTTAAAATTCATGTCAAATAATTCCAGCATCTAATTCATCTTGGTATTTGGCATCAGCTGATGTCTTTGCTCATTTAGTTTGTAATTGTCTTGGTTCTTGTTATAATGGATAATTTTCTATTGTACCCTGAGCATTTTGTTTACTCTCTTAGAGGAGTCT